TTCAATACAAAATGTATGTTGATGTGTTGATGCTAGATGTAAAAAAAGGTCCATAAAACGGAAAGGTTACAAATAGTCATTAATAATCAATGTGGCAATGCACACAGTTAAGAATCAAGGGTTTTATAATTTACTTTTGTAAGCTCATCATGCATTTGGTCAAAAATACACAGTATAACTGTAATTCTGTGAAATATATTATTACAAATGAAAATAACCACTTCAATTTCAATGTATTTTTTATAAAAATAAATATGATTTACTCTTGACTTCAGCATTATTTTTTTCATAATTATCATCATTCAGAAATCATTCTAACATGCTTATATGCTGCTCAATTATTATGGTTGCTCAAATATTAACAATGGTTAATATCATATCACCTATGCTTAATACAGTTTGTCTGTGTCATGTGATAAACAGAAAGCTATACATCTGCCAGATCTAGGCCTGTCATGATATCTATTTTTGTGGTACAATATATATCAGCAAAATTTAATGTGATAAACGATATTACTGTCATTTTAAGACACATTGACACTATAACAGCATCATAATGCAAAAACATTCCTCCAAATAACACACTGTAATAATTTATTCTTAAGAATAGTGACTTTTACAATTTAATAACTAGGCATTGGAATCAGAATGTGAAAACTAAATTCCTGAACAAAGCCATATCACCCTGCAGACCAAGACCAGTTACTCACTGAAGCTAAGCAGGGCTGAGCCTGGTCAGTACCTGGATGGGAGACCACATGGTAAAACTAGGTTGCTGTTGGAAGTGCTGTTAGTGAGGCCAGCAGGGCACGCTCAACCTGCGGTCTGTGTGAGTCTTTATGCCCCAGTAAAGTGAAGGGGACAGTCTTTTGGATGAGACGTTAAACCGAGGTCTGTGGTTGTGAAAAATCCCATTGCACTTCTCGTAAAGAGTAGGGGTGTAACCTCTCAGGTGTAAGTCCTGGCCAAATTCACTCCTTTAGCCCTTACGATCTTGGCCTCCAAATCATCCCCATCCACCAAATTGGCTCTATCACTGTCTCTCCACTCCACCAATGGTGGGTGCATTGGTGCTGTTGTCCTGTACAGTACCTGCCGTTGCATCATCCAAGTGGATGCTGCACACTGGTGGTGGAGTGGAGAGACCCCCCTTATGATTGTTAAGCACTTTTTGTTTGTATCACCAAACATGATAAATGCGCTATCTAAATCCATCTTACTTACCTACTTACTTACTAACAAACAAATAATAATAATAAATTTTAACAAAAAGGTAAAAAGAACTAGAAAAAAAGCAACAGATCTCTTGTCAGCCATTAGGCACCCACATAAAAATATACTATAGCAATAAGTCGATATATTGATCATTGTGACAGGCCTAGCCAAATGTAATTTTAGGTTTGTGTGATCAAGCACATTCTCTATGCAGCTGATTTACGTACTTGCTCATTGTGGACACTCATCACTACTGTCCCATTAGCCTCAGCTGTTAAACCTGTGGACCGCTGGCTAATCATCTGATGCATATTAACGTAGCACAGAATTTTAGTTATCATCTGATTGGAAGTTCTATGTGATTTTGTGTCAGGTTTTAAAGTCATCATCTGATTGGATGAATTCTGTGTGATTTTGATCACATTTTAAAGTTTTCATCAGATTGGGTGAAATTTTTTGTGAATTTGTGTCACATTTGGTTGGAGGAATTTTATGTGATTTTGTGTCTTGACCAACTCTCTCCTATTGATCAACTAAGTGCTGAGTTGTCAAAAGTATGTGTCATTTTTGGCACAGATTCTTCAACATAAAAGAGTTTTGCAAGGTCTGTCACTGTAGGGATGATGTTACATTGTTATGACTTAAACAAACTGTGATTGGTTACTTTACATGTCAGTCAAAGAGCTTCAAGTCATTGAAAGCTGGAAAAGAATCTAGACTTTCTGCCGTGTTTCTGAAGGTTTGGCTTTGCAAGATAAACTACCCAGTAGTGCATTATTTCACAAACATGAAAAGAACACAAAGCAGGAAACAGGACAGTGGTCTTGGAATAAAGCCTAAAAGTTTTTTTTAAATGAACATTGTAACAAGCAACATTCTCATAAAAGCATAAAAAGACATACAGCTCTCCTCTGTTTTGATGAGCTGGCAAACTGCACAGGAAGCCCCAAACTGGCCATGAGCAAGGTCTCTTCATCAACAGCAGCATCTTCTTCTTCCTCCTCCTCTTCCTCATCTTCATCCACAGAACAGTTAAGATCTTCTAAAAGCTGTTCCCCATCATTAGTTTCAACATCTCCTGAAAAAATACAAAGTATAAAGTCTTAATGTTTGAGAATTATGGGCTAAATCCAAACCATAAGATGCTGCATGTATTTAAACACTGCAAAATGACTAAACAAATGGTACTTTATATCTCAGAGGAGCTTCAAAACTCTCAAGATATGTTCAGTTCTTTGTGACACTCTGAATAAGAATTAATAATGCATTAGTACTATATTTACCCAGTAAACATTCGGTGTGGTTTGACTATAACATAGTAATAATTTACATGATTTTCTAGGTCATGCTTTTAAATACCATTTTCTCGTATATTTCAGTTTTTTAAGGAAACAAAAAGCCTGCCTCTACAAAAGATGTAAACCGTATTGAACAGAAATACAATTTAAAAAAAAAACTTTTTAATGCTTGTTTTTTAAGGCTCCAATGAACATTTGTTGAGTACCATTGAGCTGTGCCGATTGTTAAAATTAAATAGCTCAATCATTTTGACCAGATAAAATAAGATATTAACAGGAAACTATACCTTGCACTTGACTGTCAGCTTGACTTGATATGGCTTTAAAATCTGACCGATACAATTCTCGATCACTGTGGATAAACACAAGACAAACAGTATTTTCAGAATAGTAAACAAAAAGGCAAAAACCCATGTCAGCCTAGTGTTCAGTGTCACAGTCTATGCTCACTTCAACAAACATAATAGTGAAAATTTGAAGTGGATCATCACCTTTCATCAAAGTTGTCCTAAAACTATAGAACAGCCATTCTTGTCCTACTGTAAGGTAAATTTTAAATCACTTTGAATATTGACTACTGTATATTAAACCATTACGCAGTTACCCAGAGGTAATCAATGTTCGTTTTAGATCAATTTACCTTTGTATATAGTAATATATGCTTAATATATACGCATATGTATGTGTGTGTGAATGAGAGAGCGTGATGCTGTGTGTCGCTTGTTTGTTGTTGTCTATGTGTGTGTGTATGTGTGTAAATGAGAGAGAGAGCGTGATGCTGTGCGTCGCTAGCTTGGTGCTGTCTATGTGTGTTTGTATGTGTCTGAAAGAGAGAGAGTGTGATGCTGTGTGTAAACGTGTGTGTTTATACAGACAGCTTGTTATAGGCTTACTAGACTCTGTATCATGTAGCTGGGTGGTTTTTGGTTGAAACCCCTCGCCCCCCGGTTAGCGGGAACGACCGCGGAAGGTAGAAAACAGGGGGTGCGTTGGACAGCAGGACAACAAATGCTGAATATAGGCGGGAGCAGTCGGGTTCGGACTAAAACTTGGCAGGAGCGGGATTAAAAATTTAGTCCCACGCAGGCCTCTACAGTACAGTAACTAAAGGCGGATTCAACATGCTTTGACTGAACTCTTGGAATTTCTAGTTTATATGATCGTAAAGATCTGAGTTATCTGTTGGGTTTGTATTCAGTGATCATGTCTGTAATATATTGAGGTCCTAGGCCGTTTAGTGATTTATAGACTATAGTTTATAGTATAGTAATAATACTTTAAAATCTATTCTGAATGTAACTGGGAGACTTTACTAACTAGCTATTTTAATTTACATGCTTTTTTAGATAGTTTAGCTATACTTTGCCTTATATTTATATATATATATATATTTTTTGTATATTATGTACTATTATGCTTATTTTCTTGTACTGTGTATTTCTGCATCTTTGGCTCACTTTTGTGTTTTTAAAGTGCTTTATAAGTAAAGTTTGACTTGACTTGAGTTTGACAAATTTAAACTCCAAAATCTGACAATTAAGGGGTCAGAATGACCCAAGTCAATGTTGTATGAGCTTGATTACATCTTGTTCCAACCGAGATTATAAACCTCTTTTGATTTCAGGATGGTTTTCTTTTGATTTACAGGCTAAACATGTGTCCCACATTTCTTCTCACAGATTTAATATACAATTATTGACAGGTTTTATGTCATGGCACTTTTTTTGCCATGAAGAAAAATATCTTTATGACTAAATGATTAAGATTAGACTTGATAGTTTATTCAACTGACCATTGTTCAACCAATCTACCCTAACATTACTGTGCTTTTGGCTCATTTGGGGCCTTTTCTCATTCTCAGTCTATTTAAAACCAGGTAAGGTAGCCAGGTCATTGAATTTTTTCACAGTCATTTTTGACTTTCTGAGCAAAACTGCACGCCAATCAGATGATCATGTCACACACAGTCTTGTTTAACACGAATACATACTTAACGTAGGCTCTGGAGCACAAGCAGTGTATAGTCATCTCTGTCTCTTCGCCTTGATAGAAGATGATATCAGCAAGAGGAACAACATTCCGCTCGCCGTAATCAATCATCATGATCGACGCATGAGTGACACCTGTCAACAAAGCTTTCTACAAACCCCTCGTAATACTACTGTTTTGTAGCAAGGTCTGAAAACAACCAGGAAAGTCGATAATCAGATACAACGATTCATTAAAACAAAAATGGTTAAAAATACTACAGTATCGTTTATCAAACAACACGCACATCTAAATATTGCTGTGCGACTTTCCCCCTCGTGTTTTGTACATTTCCCGTCAAATTAAAAGACTCTCTGTAAACTCGCTATACTAAGATCGACAGATTTGCGCGTGTAAGACTTTTATTATGACGCTTGTTTCTTGTTCGGCCACGGACGTTGACCTGAAGCGTTTCCTGTTTGTGTCACATGTAAAGAGAGCCGGTTAAGTCAGGAAGGAATAATATTTATTGAGGACAACAGTATCTGTTTCATCGAGGTGTCATCATGTAAGTACATTTGAAGAAAATATTATTTAAAACGGCTCTTGTAATACATTTATTTAGATGTTTAGTTTTACGAACGATAAGATGTGTGGTTCAGATGAATTACTTTCGTGGTGACAGCTCTTAAAACCGCAAAAGCTGGAGCTGTTTAAGGTAACTCAACGTTATGTTTATCTATTATGGTTGTCCATAATTCAAGTGTAACGGAAGACCGAGAGATCTAACGCTATGCTTTTCCTTGCCTTTACTGACAGTGTTCAATAAAGTAATGTTGAAGGTTGAACAACATTCTTACCTGTCACTTAGGCTGAATGAACCGTTAAAACTTCTCTGATATCAATGTCATTTCGTTTTAGGACACCGCTGTGAGTTTGTTATGTTTGACCGAGCAACACATTTCCGCTGGAGAAGGTTTGTGTGTTTTAATGTGGCATATATACATATTTATTTCAGTTTATCTGGCTGTTGAATAATCTGTCAAATGGCCAAAGTAAGGTTTGTAAATTGTGTCAGCTGAAGTGTGTCTAAAAAGCTGAAGTCACAAAATGTCAATGGATTTATGATGATTGTTGTCAAACAGTCCCCCGTCTGCTATTGGTTAACAAAAAGATAGCCCCGCCCCAAAATCACGCCATTGGCCAAATGGTGTGGCTTGTAAAAGAGGATGTCAATTTAGTTGTCAAATATAAATTCATGTTTAGAAATATATAAATATACAAATATAAATTTATTACACTTTCATAGGTTACAGAAATACTGAATAATATCGTATATCCTATATAATAATATCCTAATATTCAAATATATATCCTAATATAAGGGCGACGCAGTGGACGCAGCAGTAGTGCTGTTGCCTCACTCCAAGAAGGTCGCTGGTTCGAGCCTCGCCTGGGTCAGTTGGTGTTTCTGTGTGGAGTTTACACGTTCTTCCTGCATTTGCGTGGGTTTCTTCCAGGTGCTCCGGTTTCCCCCACAGTCCAAAGACATGCGGTACAGGTGAATTGGGTAGGCTAAATTGTCCGTAGTGTATGAGTGTAAAACATGTGCTGGATAAGTTGGCGGTTCATTCTACTGTGGCGACCCCTGATTAATAAAGGGACTAAGCTGAAAAGAAAATGAATGAATGAATGATCCTAATATAATGAAATGTGCTAAGTGGCCCAGTGGGTAGCACTGTCAACTCACAGCAAGAAGGTCGCTGACTCGATCCTCGGCTGGGTCAGTTGGCATTTCTGTGTGGAGTTTGCATGTTTCCTCCGGGTGCTCCAGTTGCCCCCAAAGACATGGGCTATAGGTGAATTGGGTAAGCTAAATTGTCCATAGTGAATGAGAGTGTATGGGTGTTTTCTAGTAATGGGTTGCAGCTGGAAGGGCATCCGCTGTGTAAAAAATATGCTGGATAAGTTAGCGGTTCATTCCGCTGTGGTGACCCCTCATTAATAAAGGGACTAAGCCGAAAAGAAAATGAGCGAATTAAATGTGCCATATAAATAAACTTGCCTTGCCTTAAATTATCACTAAGCGAGCAGCCCTGTATTTATGTTTCTCACAGGTATTTAAAAAGCCGTTGTTAAAGCCTTTTAACACTACAAGTTTTGATTCGTTGCAAAGTAATTCTAAAGTGTAAAACTCTGTACTTGATAGCTTTACTGAAGGAATAAAAAACAATCCCACAAAGCACTGCAAATGACTCATTCACACACATGAACTACAATATCGAAACATAACACTCATAATTTAAATTTAACAGTATTATCAACATATTTATTGCAAATCTTGGCATTTGGCATTTCTGTGTGGAGTTTGCATGTTCTCCCCGTGTTCATATGGGTTTCATTCGGGTGCTCCGGTTTTCCCCACAAGTCTAAAGACATGCGATACAGGTGAATTGGCTAAGCTAAATTGTCCATAGTGTATGAGTGTGAATGGAAGTGTATGGGTGTTTCTCAGTGATGGGTTGCAGCTGGAAGGGCATCCACTGTGTAAAACATAAGCTGGATAAGTTGGCGGTTCATTCCGCTGTGGCGACCCCAGATAATAAAGGGACTAAGCCGAAAAGAAAATGAATGAATGAATGAGATTGTTTTATTATTCTTTGCTTTATTCTGCGGTGCTTCATGGGACTTGGTAAAACTAGATTGATTTTAACAACGTCACGGGTGATTTTTAATAGAGTTGTTTGAAAATAAGATGTTTTAATGTTTTAAACTACAGTCTATGATGCAAATTGGGTCCAATAATAAAAAAAAACGCATACAATTTATGAACAACATCATCATCCTCATCTTTTGAAGGTTTATCAGATATTTTTAAATATACTGTATAAATTTAAAGATCTCTTAAAAATTCGCAGTTCCTCTAGATTTATGTTTTACATTTATGTGTTTTAAGTTATATGTCATTTTAAATCTATTCTGTAGAGTTCAGAAGACACATTTGTTCTACTTTAAAATACATAAAATAAAGAAAAAGTTTATTTCACATTCATTAGAATGTTCATTAAAATTGTATATTCGTTGGTATACTAATGCTTTAACTTTAGACAAATTCAGAAGTCAATATTTAATCAAATAACCCTGATTTTTATTCACGCCAAATGAAAACTTTTTTAATTAAGACTCTGAATCTGAACAATTGTCATTGTCTAAAAAAAATGCTTTAAATGTCTGTATTCTATTTTAAATTATGAAGAAATGTTATCAAACATTTTCAAGTGATCTCTTTAAAATGCATATACACAAGATTATTCATGTACAAATTGTATGCAACAAAAGTTGTGTACTAATTTTCAACCTACCTTAAACTCTATATATTGGTGGAAGTGTTTTAATATCATAAAGAGGAACTACATCAACTTTAATTGCATCTTAACTTGCATCATTGACGGTTTGTGTCTCTCATGTCCAGGTCTGCCCTTTGGCAGATTGTTGCCTTGCTCAGCCCATCTGCCATCGGGAGAGGCTAACAGTGAAGCAGCATGTCCAGTGGGAATGAGTCCTGTCTGTTTGAGAACGGATCCATCAGCCTCTTCCCCTGCCTGGTCCATGTGTGGGAGGAGTGGGCAGGACTCGGGCAGATCGAGGATTATCTCAACTTCCTGGAGTATCTGGTCTGGGTTTTCACACCGCTAGTCGTGGTCTTCATCCTGCCCTTTCTCATAGTGATTCTTCTCTATCTGTCAATACTTTTCCTCCATGTGTACAAACGCAAGAACCAGCTGAGGGAAGCATATTCCAATAACCTTTGGGATGGAGCAAGGAAAACTCTGGCCACCCTGTGGGATGGGCATGGTGCTATTTGGCATGGTATGTAATGGATTTGGGTTTTTAATATGCTTCTTTTTTTTTCCTTTTTTTGTTTTAGTTTTGGTTTGTTATTTTGTTTCTGCTGACATGGGATTGATGAACAGGAATGACCAAAGCATAACTGAGAAGTCTAAAAACATGATGTAACATCAGACATATATTGTGTTTGGATTATATTGCAATTCATATTTTTCTTCCAGCCTTAAATGATCTTATACTTTAACAATGCAGATAATGTTGTTTCTGGCATTCCTGCTCTGTATTTATTAAGTGGACCATCTAAACAACTGTTCTGTCTGATTCATTGCACTGGTTTATTGTCTTTCAATTGAACTTTTAAATGTGTGATATTTTCTAAAGGTTAGAAATTATTTAAAGTAATGAGAAAAAGTTGACGTTTACATTTTTTAATAGTTCTATGTAGGCATTGTCCTGTGAAATGATATTGTAATTCAAAATTATATTCTGTTTTAATGTTTCTACATTTAGCAGAACATATAAGCTTAATGCCATTAAATAAATGATCACTTACTATTATAAATGCTGAAGATTGAAGTTGTTTTGCATAATAATATTTTGTTAAAACTGTAATTATAAGTTTTCTTCTCTTTCTTTTTTGCTAAATGGAAAGCTTAAAAGAAACACATTTATGTAATTATTTAAATGTCTTTAGTATCACTTTGAAATATTATGAAATGTTCATTTTTTTATTTATTTTCATAAAAAGTGGTGTAGTCTGTCAAGCTTCACAAAAATGTTGAATCATGTTCCCCTGATTAATTAGGTGTATATTTTCTGACAGGTTATGAAATCCATGGTTTAGACAAGATTCCAGATGAAGGACCTGCTCTCATAGTCTATTATCACGGGGCGATTCCTGTAGACTACTATTATTTCTTGGCAACAGTTATCATTCAGAAGGGAAGAACTTGTCATTCAGTGGCTGATCATTTTCTCTTCAAGGTTCCAGGTAAAAACATTCATAATGGAAAACTTTTAAACTGTCAGACTCAATTATTCATTCAAAAATCTAGTTTCATTGTGATTTGGTCAATTTCGAAACAAACATGCCCTACAACTCTGCACTTAGCATTTAAAATAGCAGAATTTCACTTTATTCTTAACACATGTATGTACTTTTAGCATTACAAGTGTTATGGTAAGGTAAACTTTATTGTCCTAAGTGATGTCATGGGTTCATAATCTCTGCTACCTCACATTAATCCAATCATTCACAACAATGATAGATACATTTCTACATTTTAAATATTAATAATAATGAATAAATAAAATTTTAATAAATAAATAAATAAATAAATAAATAAATATATATATATATATATATATATATATATATATATATATATATATATATATATATTTCAATTGATCTAGCTTTTCTGTGTGTAAATCTGAATGTATTTATCTAATGTAATGCATCCTTTATGGTCTCATACTGGCTAAACACCCTCTGGCTCAGCCTGCCTGCTACAGAAGCCACGCCCCAAGAACCTGCTATTGGTTGAGCTGGAAAGTGATTGATGAATCTTAAGAGACTGCTTTCAGTGGGAACTGTGTCTGTATCAGCTTCTTATCAGCTTTTGGTTGACAGGGCAGTGATCAGGGAGTTACAGAGGGCTGTCTCAATCACATAATAATTCCAGTGCATTGAAACATTTTGAAGTCCTGAAA